GAACTTTCCCCCTACCGGCCAACTTCAGTGTTTCCTGATTGAGTGTTCGTGGTGACTTCACACAACATAACTACGGAGAATCGTGAGAATCAACCACCAATCCTGCGGCTCCCCCTGGCCTCCTCTGCACAGAGAAAAATCCAAGTTCCTTAGCAGAGTGTTCTGGGTCTTCAATGGTTAAGAAGGTCCTTGCTGACCTTCCAGGCACCTTGCCTTTGGTGCCCTCATTGCTCCCCAGCTGGCCCACATGCAAAAGCTCTTTGACTGTCTTTCCCAGAGTCCTCTGCACATGTGTGCCCGCTGCCTCAAACACCTCTCCTCCTCAGCTCCTTCGGGTGATCTCCTGCACATCCTTCAAGACCCAACTTCAGTGTCACTGGTCTGGCTCCCCACTAGCAGAGCTTGACACTCCCTCCTCTGTGACATGTTTCTTAGAGCACCTCTCACAGTGTTGTAGCTGACCCACTCATATGTCTCCTCTCTCCTGTACTGGGCAACAGTGTGATGGGAAGATGGGAAGGGGGATAGATGTGTGTGACTCTCCCTGTAGGGTGTGTGCATTTCATACATTATTCATTCGACAAACATACATGGAGAACCAACTTGCTACCAGGCACCATTCTAGGCTCCGGGGGTACAGCAGTGAACAAAACAAAGCACTAGCCCTGGCCAGATGGCTCAGTTGGTTCGAGCATCGTCTTAATATGCCAAGATTGTGAGTTCAATCCCTCGTTAGGACATAAGCAAGAGACAACCAATGAATGCATAAATAAATGGGACAACAAATCAATGTTTCTCTCTTCCCTTCCTCCCTTTCTCTAAAAAATAAATCGAGAAATAAATATAAAACAAAAACAAAGAACACTGCCCCATGTGTGTGCAACACCGAGCCTGTAAGTGGCCTGTGTGTAACAATGTGCACACGTGGGACTGCGTTGTGCTGGCTGGGGTCCTGCAGTGTTTGTGGATCTTAGACACACTGTCCATTGAATGCTGGCCCCGTGTGACCTGCTGATAAAGGGTATCTTAGAGTTAATTAGGCCAACAGGCCATGTCTACGCACTAATGAGAAACACTCCCAGGTGCTCCCTGCCTGCCCTCCCCATCTCTCCAACAGTCACTGCCTGGCCCAGGTTTTGCCTTTTTAACCCAAAGACAACATCCATCCACATGAGATTTTTTCTGATGAGGACATCTGTCTCCCCCTCCCTGCTCTACCTCCCTGCGTCTCAGAGAGAAAGGGCATAGGAATAGGGTAAGGGGGAGAAAGACATTTTCTTGTGAATGCCTACCCCATGTCAGGTGTGTGTGGACAGCTTACATACCTCAGAGACAGTCGCAGGAAGGGCTTCCTCTATGCCAGGCTCTGTGCCATCACTGCCCTCTGCCGGCAGGGGCAATAAGAACCCCAACCCATCAAGCTTGCCCTGCATCACACTCGGCGTCTTCTCAGGACACCCCTCATGGCACATGTCTCAGTGCACAGCAGAGAAACGGATATTGCCCAGCTCTAAAAGTAACGAGGTGAGATTCAGATCCAACAGTATGAGACCCCAGATGCAGGGGGGGGGGGGGGCCAGATGCAGAAGTGTGGGGTCAGAAACATCTGAAGGGTTCCAAATTGGATTCTAGTCAAGGGCACATGTCTGAGTTGCAGGGTCGATCCCCAGTAGGGGACATGCAGGAGGCAGCCAATCAATGATTCATATCATTGATGTTTCTATCTCTCTCTCCCTCTCCCTCCCTCTCTGAACTCAATAAAAGTATATTTATTTTAAAACAAGAGCCGAAACCGGTTTGGCTCAGTGGATAGAGCATCAGCCTGCAGACTGAAAGGTCCCAGGTTCGATTCTGGTCAAGGGCATGTACTTTGGTTGCGGGCACATCCCCAGTAGGGGGGTGTGCAGGAGGCAGCTGGTCGATGTTTCTCTCTCATTGATGTTTCTAGCTCTCTATCCCTCTCCCTTCCTCTCTGTAAAAAATCAATAAAATATATTTTTAAAATAAATAAATAAAACAAGGAAGGAAGGAAGGAAGGAAGGAAGGAAGGAAGGAAGGAAGGAAGGAAGGAAGGAAGGAAGGTGAGAGAAGGACATTCAAGTGGGGACAATTGATGGAGCAAAGGCAGTTAGGCTGGAGACAGATCTGGGAGTCACAGCATTTCCAAAGGTAACTGAAGCTGTGGGAATGGAAGGCCACAGAGAAGCAACCAGAGAAAGAGGAGAGTCTGGAGACTAAGAAGTAACAAAGGGGAATTTTCAGAAATTTCCAGGTTACTCCCACACAAGGCCTGGGATGAGAGGACAAGCAGGGAGTCAGAGTGGACCTGTGGTTCTCTCCTGAGAGGATGCCAGGATTCCGGGCTCGGCACCCTGGGAGGAGTGAATACCTACGTTTCTGGGCCACTTTGGAGGCAGCCTGGGAAGGGTGGAGCCTGGCCAATCGCCCTGCTAAGGGCAGCTCCTCCCCTTCCTAGGCTGGCGCCACACCCAAGCTGCAGCACTCTCTCGGGTTCCATCCTAGGAATGGGCTTCCCCAAGCACGCCTCTCTGGTTCTGACATGAGTTCCGGCTGCCTGCTGAGTCCACTGCTGGCTGTCAGGAGCCAGTCGCCGGAGAGCCCTGAGGAGTAGCCACTCAGGTAAGGTCATCTGCACCCAAATGTACCCTGTCCCTTGGTACACCTGGCAGACGGAAACCTCTCTGAGGGAAAGTTGAGGAAGGTGGCCTGGACTTACCCACCACCCTGGGTCCTGATGGTGGAGAAATAAAGGGCCCCTCCCTGCTCTGCTCTGGGATTTTCCCAACTGAGCCGAGGTGGGAGGCATGGTTTGAATGGAGAGGAGCTCACAGGGAAATCGGGAGCTGGGCAAGCCGAGCAGTGCTGCCTGGGCCTGCAGGGCCCTGTCCTGCCCCACCCCACGTGGGCTGGGCCTAGAGCCTCTGGGGATTCAGGGCTGGAGCCTTCTAGTTATTCCCTGGGAAGCTGCCAGGAGTTCCACCCCCTTAGCAGGGCTGAGCAAAGCCCAGCTGATGATTCACAACAGGGGCCTCACTTCCCGGTGAAGGGGGTGGAGACAGAACGGTGGAGAGAGAGGGTAGAAAGCAGACACCCCAGTTTCCCTCAGCCAGGACCTACCTGGTAGAGGAGGGAGTGGGCACAGACCAGGACCTACCTGGTAGAGGAGGGAGTGGGCACAGGAAAGGGGCCTAGCCCCGGAGTGTGGGTTCTTGAGCCAGCCTGCCTGGGTTCCGATCCCAGTTCTGCAACTTACCAGCTGTATAACTGTGAGCAGATAAGTTAACCTCGCTGTGCTCCACTTTCCTCATCCAGAAATTGGGAATAAAAAGTATCATACCCTTTCCTATAGTTGCTGCTGCATTGATTCATGCAAAGGGCTCAGAATAGAGCCTAGTGCGGCATAAACACCCAACTAGTATTGGCTCTCACCATTATGCTGCTTGACTGCTGCAGGTCCTGGGGGTCAGAGAGCCTGGTGACCTTCAGCCGGGACCAGCAGTCAGCAGGGCATCAGGAGCCCCTTAAAGAGAGAGGCTGTGCGGACAAGCTCCCTAGGTCCTGGGGACCGGCAGGGTGGGACTCGTGCCTGGCCTCTCCCCATAAGAACCAGCCAGAAGAATTCCAAGAGAGAAAGTGGGTGCCCCTCTCTCTGAACAGCAGTCCCATTCCTTACATGGAGGTAAACCTGAGTCCTGTGTCTAGCACACCAGACTCGCCAGCAGGAGGAACATCAGCAGCATCTCCCATTTTGGTGTCTTGACAAGGCTATTCCATAGGATGATGAAAATGGATTCTGTGGTCAAAGGAGTCTGGACAATACTGTATATTCTGTTCCCCTGTGGGAGATTCACCCTGTGAGTCCATTCGCCTGGTCACAGAAAGGGGCCTATTTCACAATGATCGCCTTCCTTTCTTTTTTTTCCTTTTTTTTTTTTTAAACATTAAATAAATGTTAGTTATAATCTTTATTTATTTTTAATATATTTTATTGATTTTTTACAGAGAGAAAGGGAGAGAGAGTGAGTTAGAAACATTGATCAGCTGCCTCTTGCACGCCCCCTACTGAGGATGTGCCTGCAACCAAGGTACATGCCCTTGACCGGAATCGAACCCGGGACCCTTCAGTCCGCAGGCTGATGCTCTATCCACTGAGCCAAACCAGTTTTGGCTCACCTTTCTTTCTTGAACACCGGTTCCTCTTCTCTCACTACTCCAATAGCCAGCCTATGGGATAGGGTTCCATGGAACACCAGTTTGGTAAACACTGCATTACCAGGCTACTCGAGAAAGCTTATTGTATAAAGAGAGCCGTTGACCCCTATCTTATCTTTCCACTGGATTGCCATTGGCCTTGCTTCAGGTGAGTTGCACCTGAGCAGGATGCGTTCTAGATAATTCAACTGAGTGTTAGACCAGGTGGGAGTTTGTGGGCAAGTTTCCAGCCTCCTCTCCAACCTAATCCGCTGAGTCAAAGAAAAGGCAAAGAGCAGGTTCCCTGGGGAGGGGCTGCCTAAGAGGAGTGAGCAGTGCCCAGAAAGGAGAGAAGTCTTCCCAAGGCTCACTATCCTGAGGAGGAGGGCCAGGGCTGGAGCAGAGGCAGAAAGCAGAATGTCCCGCCTACATAAGCCTTGGCTCTGCTGGATTGCAAGGCCAGAGCCACAGGCCCTGAGAGGACTGAGGGGCTCCCTGGACTCGCCTTCACCCACTTTTATGGATAAAAGTTGGGTTCTTTACTTAACTACTTAGGCTCCAATCCCAGCTCTGCACCTAATAGTTGTGTAACCTTGTATCACCCCTCTAAACCTCAGTTTCCTCCATCTGTAAAATGGGCTCAGTGATAGAACCTAGCTCCTCTGGGGCTGTGAGGATTAGAGACGATGACATGTTTCTCTAAAGTGCTCCCAGTGACTACTTGATAAACGTGGGGGACTCTTACTATCATTCCCCAGCAGCAGCAGCAGCCGACACCTGGATCCATCATGAACTGGGGGATCTTCGAGTCGCTCCTAAGTGGGGTCAACAAGTACTCCACGGCCTTCGGGCGCATCTGGCTGTCCCTGGTCTTCATCTTCCGGGTGCTGGTGTACTTGGTGACAGCTGAGCGTGTGTGGAGTGACGACCACAAGGATTTCGACTGCAACACCCGCCAGCCGGGCTGCTCCAACGTCTGCTTCGACGAGTTCTTCCCCGTGTCCCACGTGCGCCTCTGGGCCCTGCAGCTCATCCTGGTCACGTGCCCCTCACTGCTGGTGGTCATGCACGTGGCCTACCGGGAGGCGCGGGAGAAGAAGCACCGGGAGGCAGTGGGGGAGGACGGCGGGCGCCTCTACCCGAACCCCGGCAAGAAGCGGGGTGGGCTCTGGTGGACGTATGTCTTCAGCCTGATGTTCAAGGCCGGCATCGACATCACCTTCCTCTACGTGTTCCACTCGTTCTACCCCAGATACACCCTGCCCCCTGTGGTCAAGTGCCACGCGGCCCCGTGTCCCAACATCGTGGACTGCTTCATCTCCAAGCCCTCGGAGAAGAACATCTTCACCCTCTTCATGGTCATCACGGCCGCTGTGTGCATCCTGCTTAACCTCATGGAGCTGGCCTACCTGGTGAGCAAGAGGTGCCGGGAGTGCATGGCTGCGAGAAGAGCCAGGACGGCCGGCGCCTCTCCCTGCAAACAGCAGGACCTCCTGTCCGGGGACCTCATCTTCCTGGGCTCAGACGCTCCCCCTCCTCTCTTACCAGATCTCGCTCGGGACTATGTGAAGAAAACCATCCTGTGAGGGGCTGCCTGCACTGGGCTGGTCGGGTGGGCCCAGCATCTGTCACGGGTGCAGCCTTGGCAGTGGGAAGGGAGCTCCCGCCGCCTGCCCAGCTGTGTGGCCTTGGGCACTTCCGTTTCCTTTGGTGTAAAATGGAGATGGTGGCGACACCTTATTGGATGGTTGCTATGAGGGAGAGTTTCATTAGAGAACAGATGTGCAACCCACTTTCGTATGTGGGACCCACGGCCAGGGATTAATAAAAGTCCACTCCTCCTGCCGAAACCAGTTTGGCTCAGTGGATAGAGCATCAGCTTGCGGACTGAAGGTCCTGGGTTCGATTCCGGTCAAGGGCATGTACCTTGGTTGCGGGCACATGCGCAGTAGGGGGTGTGCAAGAGGCAGCTGATTGATGATTCTCTCTCATCGATGTTTCTAACTCTCTATCCCTCTCTCTTCCTCGCTGTAAAAAATCAATAAAATATTAAATAAATTTTTAAAAAGTTCACTCCTCCACTGACTCAAGGTGCCCTTTGCTTCTTCAGCCTTTGTGACCCTTATCAGGTCATTCGGTCACTCTCTCTGCCCTTGGTCCAGCCAGGTGGGGGCCATCCTCTCCCCCAACAAGGGTGCCCAGCACTCCTAGGGGCAAGCTGCCTGCTCCCGTGGCAGTGTTAGGCCTGCAAAGAGCATGCATCTTAGAACGTGGGGAGCGGTGTGGGGCGGCCGAAAGTTCAGGACTGGCATCAGAAGGCTTGCATTCCAGCCCAGGTTTCATCGGGACTCTGGGAAAGGGACTGTGGCTCCTGTCCAAATGGGTGAATGCACCTGTGGGCTGTTCAGAGGACTGATGAGCTCATGGTTGTGCATGGGCTTAGCCGGCTGTAAAAGGCCACATAAATGTTAATCATTGGTATTAGGGAGCGCTGGATAAAATGCTTGTGGGAAATGTGGCAGAGCCCCTCCCTGGCTACACATTAACCTTCACTGCCCTGAGGCCCCTCTGCAGTCCCACTGGGTCCCACTGGGTCCACTCCAGCTTCCCCGGAGGCCTGGCCACAGGACTGATATCTGGGGCATGTCATGCCGCCCACCTGCACTCCTTGTCTCCACCAGGGCAGTAGGTCCCCTCGTCTAGATCACAGCCAGCCCCTCCCATCCCTACACGCCTTACCAGCAGCCCAAGCTCTAGTCTCTAGAAATGCCCCACCACAATAGGATGCTGAATCAAGATTGCCCCTTTCCATAAACGTCAACTGCTGAAGACTTCAGAACCAGCCTTCCAGAGAAGGGGGCAGGAGGGAGGCCTGCGGACAGGGGACAACAAAGCAACAAAAAGTGGACAGAAGCAATGCCATTGTTGCTGGCCTGGGTCTGGAGAATGAGAATACGAGGCAGGCTCCTGCTCCCGACCCCCATACTCCCCTTCTCCCCGCCACACACACCCCCGTTCCTCACTGCAGTCTCACCCACATACCTGCCAGACCAGGTAGCTCGACCCAGCCATGCCCAGCCAGGCTGGAGAAGGCGTGGGCCAGAAGAAAAGAGCCACAGGTGTTTGCTCTGAATATGTGCCCGGGGAAGTCCGCCAGCCTGCCTGCCCACCTGCTTACTCTCCTTGGCTCATTGGCTCAGAAAGCTCCACCCAGCAGGGCAGTAAAGAACAAAAGCTGCCTCTAGGAGGCCCTTAGGCAGACGGGCCAGCCCAGGGACTGGAGAGAAGCTTCGGGACCCAAGAGAGGTGAGGACCAAATTGGGCAGGAGGCTGGGCTGGGAAGCAACAGGTCTGAGGATCCCAGGGAAACTTGGTTGTGGGCTGGGCTCCAGGGAAAAGCAGAGGGGACTGAGAATCCCTGGAAGGAAAACAGGAAAGCCCCAAAGAGGGGAATGAATGTCCTTCCAGACTGAAGAGAGGACAGAGGACCAGAGGAGAGACTCAGGAAGATGTGGTGTTTCTATTTGGTTTAGCAAACATTGTGTGTTCACTGGGCCAGGCCCAGTGCTGAGTCCTGTGGATACAGAGATGATAAGACAGGGGGCTGCCCTCCAGAAAGGTAGTCTGGCATAGAAGATATTAAATAGACCATCTGAGTGTCCATGAGAGAAGGAGGATGCTCAGAACATGTCTCAAAGGCATGAGGTCTGAAGACACTGAGATCTGAGACTGACAGAGGAGGGACTGGGTCAGAGATGGAACATGATGATACTCCAATTAGGGGATGTGGAGGATGGAGCACACAGGACAGGGACCTGACTGGAAATAATAGGAGATATGGCTAGCAAACAGCCACTAAGCAAATGCAGAAGGGGATGACCATAAGAGAAAAAGTAAATGGGGGGAGGACCGTACCAGAATCCCGCCTCCATCCCTGCCCCAGTCCCTCCCCTAAAGCCACAACGGTAGCAATTCCAGAGGAACCCACTGTGGTCAGGACAGTCAGCAAACGGGACCAGCACCCAGAGGGTGGGGACTGGGTGGGCCAGGATGATGCCAAGCCACCATTGTTCCAAAGAGAGAGCCTGTTTGGTTTGGGAGGGAAAGTCAAGGCGGGGATGTCCTGGGGCTAGAGAGGAGGAATGAGAATGGATATCACTCAAGCGTCTGCTTAAGAGGTTGATAGGAAGGCATCCAGCTCAGGGCCTGGCTCCTGTTGGAGGGAACTGGAGGGTAAAGACACACATCCCTCCCTCTTGCCCTGGTCCAGCCTTAGTCCAGCCTCGGAGCGAACTGCAGAGTGGATCAGTTAATCCACCCCTTCTTCCGGCTTCTCTAGAAGTGGGTGACCCACAGGGCTGAAAGGAGTCAGAGGTTGGCAGGACAATTATCCCTCACATGTATCTATTACTTTATAGAATAAAATATCCCCTGATTTTGGAACTGGAAGACAGAAGTTCAAGACCAGCTCCGCCACTTCCAGCTGTGCCTCTCTGGGCCTTAGTTCACTCCCTGTGAAATGGGGCCAGTGGCAATCCCTGCCCAGCCAAGTCATAGCGAGTGAGGACATGACGACATGGTGGTTGTGAAAGAGTTCTGCCCATCACACCTTTAATAAAGGGCACTCCTTTCCAGGTTCTCCCCGGCCTGAGTGGGCGCGTGAGGAGCCATCAGCATGAACTGGGGGTCCCTGCAGGGCCTCCTGAGCGGAGTGAACAAGTACTCCACGGCGCTCGGCCGCATCTGGCTGTCAGTGGTGTTCATCTTCCGGGTGCTGGTGTTCGTGGTGGCGGCGGAGGACGTGTGGGATGACGAGCAGAAGGACTTCATCTGCAACACCAAGCAGCCAGGCTGCCCCAACGTGTGCTACGACGAGTTCTTCCCCGTGTCCCACGTGCGCCTCTGGGCCCTGCAGCTCATCCTGGTCACCTGCCCCTCGCTGCTGGTGGTCATGCACGTGGCCTACCGCGAGGAGCGGGAGCGGCGGCACCGCCTCAAGCACGGGCCCAACGCCCCATCCCTGTACGACAACCCAAGCAAGAAGCGGGGTGGCCTCTGGTGGACGTACCTGCTAAGCCTCGTCTTCAAGGCCGCCGTGGACTCCGGCTTCCTCTACACCTTCCACCGCCTCTACGAGGGCCACTACGACATGCCCCGCGTGGTGGCCTGCTCCCAGGCGCCCTGCCCCCACACCGTGGACTGCTACATCTCCCGGCCCACGGAGAAGAAGGTCTTCACCTACTTCATGGTGGCCACGGCTGTGATCTGCATCCTGCTCAACCTCAGTGAGGTCGCCTACCTGGTGGGCAAGAGGTGCCTGGAGATCGTGGGCCCCAGGCGCCGCCGGTCTCGACGCCGGAGTCGCCTGCACGATTCGTGCCCCCCCTATGCCCTCTCCCAGGGAGACCACCCCCAAGATGGGAACTCTGTCCTAATGAAGGCCAGCTCGGCCGTGGTGGATGCAGGTGGGTACCCGTGACCTGTGAGGTTGGCAACAGGGATCACCACGTCCCCCACCTCCTCCCCGAAGCCACACAGGGCAGTGGCACTTGCTGCAGTGAGGCATGCAAGGAACGGGGCTGTTGGGGCTCAGGAAGCCCAGCCAGGGGCCAGCCCTGGGAGGGGGCAGTGCTGCCTCAGGACCCTGAGCCCCAGGGGAAGAAGGTTTCATGGCAGGCATTTGATATATGGCAATAGGGAATGTCAAAACCCTTAATAAATGTGATTTTTCTCAGCACCTTGCAGACCAGGTGGGGAGTGATGGGTAGAGAGCAGGGGGGGGAGGGGGTCACAAGGACCTTGAAGAGAAGGCCAGGACCACTCAGTGAGCATCTGAGCCTGGGAACCTCAGTCCTGGTTCAGCCATCACCACACACACACACACAGACACACACACACAAATACACACATACAAAGTGTGCCCTCAGGACATGGTAGGGAATACCAAAGGCAGAGACGTTTCCAGGGGTTTCTGGACTCTGTAACCAGCTGGCCAGGCAGGAGAGGGACCCCTGGAGACCCTGGGTCCAGCACAGGTCAGTTCTCAGTGAGCATTCTTCAGATGAATGTGTGATGCTCAGAAGGCTACTGCCTCCCCATCCAGCCTCCCTGACTCTCCCCAGCACAGGCCCCAGGTGGGTGAGTGCCCTCTGAGGGGAGGATGGAAGGTCTAGTGGAGGTGGATGGTGCAAGTCCAGGATGAGAATCTGCCAGGGTGTTGAGGAGGCACATCCCCACAGGCCAGGAGCCCATTGAGAGCATCCAAGCCAAAGGGTCCCTCACAGATCCTCCAGTCTGAGGAGTTTTCCTTCTCTTTCCTGGATACACATTCCCTCATGCTCCTCCACCCTCACCTCACTAGTCAGACCTTGGCAACTTCCAAAACCCCACCTCAGCCTGGACCTGCCTGAATCCCAGAGCGCCCACCAACCGCCCACAGGGCGACCCTCCAGGAGGCCCCCAGGCATCTCCCCTCAGCAGGTCCCAAACCTGCCCTCCTCATAGACCATGCCCCACCCGTGAAGGGCACTGCCAGTTGTCCAAGCCAGGAGCTAGACTGCCATCCTCATCCCCTCCCATCTCCCAACCCCTCACACCCACATCCCAGTGCAGCACCAAATCTGTTGCAGCCCCTGCAATGCCCCCTGAATCTGCCCCTCTTTTCCCAACCCACAGTCTTAACATCTCACTGGGCCCCTACCCTCTGCCCTCCACTATAAGGACAGGGTGGTTTTTCTGTAAAGGAATCTGACATGTTGTTCCTTCTGCATTAAAAATTCTAGGATGGAGGAAAAAGAGGGCATAGAGGGGATAAATGGTGATGTAAAGAATAAAATAAATAAAATAAAATATGCCCTAGCTGGTTTGGCTCAGTGGATAGAGCATCAGCCTGCAGACTGAAGGGTCCCAGGTTCGATTCCGGTCAAGGGCATGTACATTGGTTGCGGGCACATCCCCGGTAGGGGGTGTGCAAGAGGCAGCTGGTCGATGTTTCTCTCTCATTGACGTTTCTAGCTCTCTATCTCTCTCCCTTTCTCCTCTCTGTGAAATATCAATAAAATATATTTTAAAAAATAATAATAATAATTTTCTCTCATCGTTGATGTTCCTACCTATCTCTCTCTCTTCCTTTCTGAAATTAATAAAATATATTTAAAATAAATAAGTAAAAATTTCTTCTACCACCACCCACCATTTCCCTAAACCTGGACCCCCCTGGCTTCCCCAACCTCACCTGCTCCCTCCCTCCTTGAACCCATTGGTAATACTAAGGGGCTCGTGGTTCCCCAGCCAGACACAGCATGCTGTGTTATGCCTTGTGCCTAAAAACATGCTGTTCCCTCTGCCTGAAATGCCCTTTCTCCCTCCTCTCGGATCCTTCCTAGAACCTCAGAGAAAGTCTTTACGACCTTCTCCAAGTACCAGTCTAGCTTCTACCTCTGTTATTTTCCCCAAATTGGAGCAGTCGTTTCTCTTCATCAGTCTGTGAGCCCTTCACGAGCAGGGCAGGGCAGGCCGCTGAGTCATCTAGGCCCGGCTGCCTCCAATAAATGCTTGTGAACTGAGTAAATGGGCTGTGAGCTGTGTGGCGGAAAGAACTGAGTCTTGCTCATCTGAATCGTCTACCACACCTCACCCAGAAAGTTCGGCAAAGTGTTTTCTCTTAATTTGTTTGTATGTATGTTGTGTTGTTGTTTTACTAACTAAGGCCAGCCTAAAGTTCTCATTCATAGGTGAGGAAACTTTGGCCTAGGAATGGAGGAGATCTAAGTCCACACAGAGTCTGGGATGAGTCTATGGAGGCTGTAGCCCCTGTGGTCAAATAGAGAGCTTCCATGTTCACCCCGGATTATGGGACAAGATCAGGGTCCCGGGAAGCAGAGCCAGCAACAGGAGTTTGTGTGCATGTGAAGGAAGGAGCAAGGGAAGCAGGATAGGGAAGGGGCAGAGCTGAGCAGGGTATGGGTTTGTGGAAGCTTAGCGTTGGCCTGAGCCTTATGGAGTAAGGGACCTTTGGATCATAAAGCCCACCACAGAGCTGCCCCCACTGGAGGCAAAAGTATCAGGCTTTGAAACTCTCAAATCAGTTTGTGATTGGCTACAGGTCACCTTGAAGAAAGGAGGGCAGAAGGAGATGGTGGCTCCTGCCCAGTCAAGATCAATTCTCCAGAGGCAGCTATAAGCCATGAGTGACCAACATTCATAGCAGCTGGAGAATGAGTGTCCACAGAACAGGGGTGTGGGCAGGGCCCCCAATACCATCTATTGAACTTCAGAAATCAAGGGCAACTCTACCTCCAATCCCAAAGAAAAACCAGCTCAAAGCCAGGTAACCTCCACACTTCTCAGACCAAGGTAGTTCCCATGTGCAGACCAGTGGACTAACCAGTCAACTCCCTCTGAGATCCTAGATTCCCCATTCCAGGGGCTGCTGCTGGGACAGCATACTGGAACCTGACTACTTTCATGATAGTCCTCTTCATGTGTAGTGTTCCCAGCCGTTTCAAGTCCTGGGCCATTGAGCCAGATAAGGACGGTACACTATCTGATCAGCCTGAGGGCTCCAGAGGGGCCTGGATAACATTTCTGTCATCTCACTCTTATCTTCATCCCACCCACACTCTCCATACCCCGACACTACCCTCATTACCACTCTTAGACCTTTCTACCTCCACCTTCTTGAAAACTCTTTGCTTAGCTTAGGCCTCTGCCATCTTTCTCTTCCATCTTCTGCTGGCCCACATTGCTGCACCTACTTCTCCTCATTCCCTTAAAGATTGAAACCTACACAATCCTATTAACCAATGTCACTCCAATGAAAGAAAGAAAGAAAGAAAGAAAGAAAGAAAGAAAGAAAGAAAGAAAGAAAGAAAGAAAGAAAAGAAAAGAAAGAAAAGAAAAGAAAAGAAAAGAAAAGAAAAGAAAAGAAAAGAAAAGAAAAGAAAAGAAAAGAAAAGAAAAGAAAAGAAAAGAAAAGAAAAGAAGGAAGGAAGGAAGGAAGGAAGGAAGGAAGGAAGGAAGGAAGGAAGGAAGAAAGAAGAAAAGAAAGAAATGAAGAGAGAGAAAGAGAGAGAGAGAGAGAGAGAGAGAGAGAGAGAGAGAGAGAGAGAGATTTGGGCACATGACTTGGTCTTCTGGTATTCTCTCACAGCCCGAGGCCATGGTGACCACCTGTGTATGACTCTGTCCTGTTAATTCTATGCACTCCTATTCTTTCATGACCTCCTCCTCCACTCCATTTAGCTACACACTCACAGGACCACACCCCAGACTCCGTCTTCACTCAGAACTGCTCCACTTCTAGAACCTTCCACTTAATTCAAATCGACAAGTATTTATTGTCCACTTTTATGTGATAGGCCCCATGCTAGGTGCTGAGGATACGTCTGGGGAGAATCAAACACAATCCCTGACTTCACGGAGCTTTCATTTTATGAAAAAGCTCCTAAAATCCTGGTGTCCTGGGGAAGCATGGGGCTCGGAGCAGGGGAAGGTGAATCCAACATCCTGAACATCCAGGCATCCAGGAAAAAATTCCCTGAGACTTCTTAAGCTGACACCTAAAGAAAGAGGAGGATTTTGTTAAGCAACACAGGGAGGGGATTCCAGGCAGAAGGGCCAGCACATGAAAGACCTAGATAGGGAAAGTCAACCAAGTGAGGGTCAGGCTGAAGAAGAGAGTAACTAGGTCATGCAGGGCTTTCTTTGTAAAGCCCTGTTAATGATTTGGACTTTACCCTAAAGATTTAGCACAGAAGTAACATGGTCTAATTTGCAGTATCTGTGGTTACAATGCAGAGAAAGGAGCCAGAGCAGGGATGCCTACCTATTTGGGAACTGACACAAATAATCCATTTGAGAAACAGTGGCTCAAACTAGGGTGTGCACAGTGGGAATGGAAAGAAGTAGCTGGGTTTAAGAAATGTTGGCAAGATAGAATCAAAAAGATTTGATGGTTGATTGGGTGTGGGGAATCAGTTCGAGACAGAAATCAAAGTGACACCCAAGTTTCTGGCTCTGGGTGGTGGTGCATTTACCCAGGGGAGGAGCAGGTTTTGGACAGGGCTGAGTCTGAGACACAAATAAGATCTCCTCTTTATCTCCTCTCATTCATGGATCATCTCTGCCCTTGGCTCAATGTATCTCTTGACTATTACGCTTATTATCATTCTTGACGATTTCACATCCAACAACTTGACCTCTCAGTTCCTTGACTTTCTTGCTTCTAACCATCTTTTTCTCCATCCATTGAATCCACCCACATGAGTGCTCACACCCTAGACCTTTCCTGTATCAAGAGCTGCATCATCTTCTATCTATCCAGCTCACTCACTCTGCCTCCCACTCCAGCAATCCCATCTGTTGACCAAGCACCATTCCACCATCCATCACCCCCTTCATATCCTCTCAACCTTTCCCATCTTGGACTCCATAGGTCACATGTAATTGCTGGTTGTAGATATCCTCCATCCCTTGCCT